ATATATATATATATATATATATACATATACACACAGCATATATACATGTATATGCATTGCATAATATACAATATATTATATATGTGTTGTATATATGTGTTACAATATATTATATATGTGTTGTACCATACAATACACATACAATATATACAATATATTGTATAGTATGCAAGATATATAATATATTGTATATTATACAATATATTATATTATTATATAATAATAATTATTAATACAATATAATATAGTGTATATCATACACTATATTATATATATTGTAGATGTAAATATAAATTTATGTTGTAAGTGTTAATTGTAAAACATTTTCATAAGTCTTAAATACCATAAAAGCCCGTAAAATATATATTTTGATAATGGGTTAAAGTATATACTGTGTTATAGAAATGTTAATATTACACAGTGTATTTTGTAGAATGAATTGAAGCTGAATTAGTTCACTGAAAGAATGCGTTTAAAATATTTCATTGAGTAAATCCCAAATAAAAATTAAACTGCAATAAAAAAAAATAATTTTGACCAAGAATGAGTTACAATTCAGTCAGAAAACGGAGACAAGGTCTAAATGTAAATAGTCTGTCAACAGGACACTCCCCATACAAAACTCCATAGAGAAAATGAAGGTTTTTGACACAGACTCCAAGACCTGGAGAATCCAGCTCCGTGGTCCTACCCTGTCTGGACACAGCTGTGGTCAGTTTTGCCTTGTGCTACAGTCTGTCTGTGCTGTCACACACACACACACAAACACACACACAGCTGTCTGCTGTCTAAACTATGAGTGATGCACTGTTCGTCTGGTGTCCTTCATCGATACAGTGGAAATAACAAAGCATGGCAGCCTACTCCATTAGCACACACACACACACACACACACAAACACACCATATCGCCGGTTCAATCTCGAGGTCGTGATGATGAATTATGAAATGTGGGAAGTAGATTTCTCAGTGTGACCTTGGACGTTCCGACCCGGCTTCGTTTACCCTGACTGTCTGGGCTCAGTGGTGTCACCTGACGTCCACACACTCACAGAGAGTGTGAATAAGGCTCAAGTACACGCTATGTCACACTCACCCCTGATACTAAATCACCGGGAAAATCAAATGGTGTTTTTCCAACAGTACAGTGAAACGTGATATTTTAGAGCAGCCGCTCCTGTTCACCTCTGTGAGCACTGGTGTCTGAAAAACATATGGGGTACAAAATTATAGTTGTCTTCTTAAAGAGGTACACACGTAAAAATATCTTAATTTTTTTTTTATGTTTTTCACAGGTTTCGGTGATGGTGAAGAATTATAATGGTACCCATGACATTTCCTGGCACTGTTCCTGGTGAGTAACCAATACTGTAATTCATAGCACTGTATGTACTTTCTGGTACTAGTTCCTGCTGTTCAAATACACATAGATTCTGTTGGGGTTTTTTATTTCTATTTTTAGACTCTACAGTAAAAATAACCATACTTGTTGTAACTGTAACTGTAACTGATCCTAGTTTCTGCTAATAATCTGCCTGAGCTGTAGCTGTTCCTAGTTTCTGCTAATAATCTGCCTGAAACACAGGACTTTAGTATGATCACTACTCTCTTGTATTACATTACATATATATAATAAATTATATATATTATATATTATATATTATACAATATAACATACAGTATATTATATATTATACCATACATTATATATTATACCATATATTATATATTATACCATATATTATATATTATATTTTATATATTATATATTATATATGTATATTGATCGGATTGAACCAAAAAAATACCACTTGGTGAACTGCTTTCCATCTTCAACAGTACCACTCATTCTCTGCACTCTGTCATTAGCAATCAGAGGAGTGTGTTAGGTCACAGACTCCTACTTTAAAAAAAGCAGGAACAACAGACTTAAAAAAACTGCTTTGTCCAACGGGAAATTGAACCGTTTAACTCTTCACTGGTGGGGAAGGGAGTATTTTCAACAACAATTTGCAATAGCTGCATAATAACCGTACGATAACTACAATCTGTATATCCATCTAGCTTTCACATGCATGTATACATACAAACAGACATATGTATATCTTTATGTGTGTGTGATTACATTGATTTATATGTGTTTGTGTTAATACCTGCTAATACATATACTGTATGTATATATCTATTGTACTGTATATACCTATCCATCTCATTTACATATCTCTCTACATACTGTAGCTAGCTAATAGTATATATAATAATATTCTGATATAGTATTTTGTTATAATACACTTTATATGCCATTATAGCTGCTGAAATATCCTGTTTATATATCTATAGTTATTCAACTGGATAACTGTTAAATACTTACACTTACAGTATATATTTATATGTATATACACATATGTATGTACTGTATATGTGTGTATATTTAACTACTTGCATTTATAGTGTATATGTATAAATATACATATATACAGTTTGTATTCATAGAAATCTTATAACAATTTACATGATAACAATAACGTCCATCCAACTGACCGCCCATCCACCCGTCTGTCCGTCCTCCCACTGGCCCGCCCGCCCATATGTCAATCAGTCAGTCTGTCTAAGTATCTATCTGTTACAGTATCAGACTTAAGAAAGTTGAATCAAGCCATCCCTACTTCCTAGTGACCTACCTTGCTTAGGCTGCAAAAATGCACACAATCCCTGGTACTGTCCATAGTCTCTACATAGTTTCAACGCCACCTCCTGGGCTGAACAACTAAATTAAGACAATTGTCCTTACAATATCACGTACATGTACAGTACACATTTTAGTTTAGTTTCATATCAAATGTCCAAAAAAGTAATTCGATACTGTTCTCTGTCACATCATATACAGTACATCTGTGTCTCAGTCACTGCAGTTTATTTAGGATGATTTAATCATGGAGTCATTTGGAGTGCAGTGATAAAGAGAGATTGTCAGTGTCTCTCTCTCTCTCTCTCTCTCTCTTTCTCTGTGTGTGTGTGTGTGTTATTTCACGCTCCTTTGGCTCAGGCTGAGCTGCAGCCGTTGATGGTCCACCAGCCCACTCCGCTCTAATGTCTATTGATTATAAATTGACTGTGTGGTGAGACTGATTGGTTTCATATCGGAGTTCACATGAAAATGTGATTGCAGCAATTCACCACCTGGTTTTATTTAAGAGCTGACTGACCGTCGACTGTGCATGAACAAAATGCAAGCAACATAAAGCCAATGTGAATGTGCGCGATGGTTGTGATACCCTAATTGACCACTGGGGTGATATTCTGACGTAGGTGTATTAGGGCTTTGATGGTTTTTTTCTTTGACGTTCACAATGTTGAACTCTGGGAGGAGATTTTATTTCTAGATACATACATGGGTCTGATGAGCAGAGAATACAAACTAAAGTTTTTTTTTTCTATCTGTGCCTAAATCCTGGGCTGAGTGGTGTCAGGCCATCTGTTCCTAAATCCTGGGCTGAGTGGTGTCAGGAAGGACATGTTACGTAAACCTGCTGTGGCTGGAAAACATTCTCTTATCACCAAATGTGTCCCGCACTTTCCACTGTTTTCTTTTTTTTGGCTTGAATTATTTGCTAGGACAGCGGAGGCGTCACTGCCTAGATTTGGATTTGTTTTCCAATTCATTGTCGATTTTCATATCATTGTTTTTCTCTGCTTTAGACACATGACTGTGATACAATTCCTACAGTGGTTTACAGACAGTATCCACAGTGTCCACGGGCCACAGATGACCTGCCTAGCATGTGTTGGAAACCTCAGGTTTTTGGTCATTTAGGCAATGAACGATGGCTGCTGTGAAGTAAATCTGTGGTACAGACCTTACTTCGCAATAACAACCTAAAAACTACTCACGTTTTTAGATCGCCCTTTACAAAAGTGACTGTGGTTGAGTTCCTGTGCTACACTAAAGTGCTTTGTCAGCAGCCAAGCTGTGTGTTGTGCCTGAAAATACCTTCAAACTGAAAATTGTCCCTGTCCTAATCAAGCAGCTGCTACCTGGCCCATTTCACCTGCTGAAGCTGCAAGTTGGGGGTGGGGGGGCAACAGGAGACTTGGTAGAGTGTGGTTGAGTTGCAAGGTGTGGAGTCAGTTTGAAGGTGAAGGTTGGAGTCATACCAGGGGACCATTGTAGTCCAGTTCTCAGTCTTCAGATGTTTATTATTAATGTCCAGTCTTTTTTCCCCCATTTAAAGCCATATGTCAGAGTCAGAAAAATCAGAAATACTTTTTTAATCACTGAGAGAGAAATTGTGGTGTTACAGCTCCTGAGGAGAGCAGCTAAAAGGAGCAGGAGAAATAAATGTGTAGTGTGAGACGTACATATAGAGCAGGGTCGTCTGGAATTCAAATGAGATTGTCCACAATGTCTAGAAATTGATTGAAAAAAATTAGAAAAAAAAAATTACGGATAAAACTATTTTTTCAACTAATTATTATTCCCTTTAAAATTATGACTAAAACTTCACACACCTCCTCAAACAACTGTATTATTTTATAATATTTGAGCTGACGCATCTTCGTTGACTTGACTTGATTGACAGCTGCTAAAATGTCTCTGGGGTAGGTTTTATATACAGTGGAACCCCAGTTGTCGAACACAATGTTTTACCAAAAATTGCCCCCGGTTGCCATACCATACCAACTCAGTTGCTGAACAAGCCAACAATATCAGGCTGGCAGCAAGTGATTGAGCGTGTCTGATTTTTTTATTCCATAAACCACCATGGGACCTAAACAACAGTGTTAACAACAATAGAAGTGATTACAGTTTATACGGAAGCATGAAAATAGCGCTCATGTTTCAGGTCCTGCTTCACGGTATGGTTTAGCAAAGTCGTCGTTTTGAACCATTATGGAGCACAAGAATGGAATAAAAGAAGCTACGGTTGTCAAAGGAGTGACTTTGATCACCAGGATCACAGTCACTAGAAGAAGAAGAAGAAGTTAGGAGAAGTGGAAAGGTTGCTAGTGATTTGGATCAATGAAAAGCCTTTGGCCGGCGATAGTACTTAGATACATACCAGTAGTAGAATAATGTGTGAGAAAGCGAAGCCAACATTGCTCAATCGCAACTCCTCAGCTCCAGTAAGGATGAAAGAAATTGCCTTTCCTATTTATAGCTTCATTCTTTATTCAGTTGTGTTCATCTTTTTTGTTAGATCTAATTATATTTTGTTGGTATCGTGTATGAACCTGTACACAAAATACTGCTGAAAAAGTTTGAATAAGCAATCATCCGGGAACCGTCCGGAAACGGATCAATCCATTTTACATTGATTCCTATGGGGACAACTGTTTCAGTTTTTGAATTTTTCCGTCCACGAACGGCCTTCAGGAACAAATGAAGTTCAAAAACCGAGGTTCCGCAGTATTTGTAAGTATATGACGTGCAGAGTATGAATTTACAGTATTTAGCAGCAACAGTAAAAAGTGATGCTCATCAGTGGACCAACCAATCAGATGCAGACTGAGTAACATCAGCAGGAGATGATGATGTCATTCTTGTGGATACACAACCTTGATTCCAAAAAGTTTGACAATGGGTTTGAATATGAACGTAAACTGTCGTTTGTCTCTACATGTGGCCCTGCGATTGGCTGAGGTTAAGATCAGCTCCAGCTCCACACTCTGGTCCTAAGAACCATCGAGTTTTAGAGGTGTGAAACTTCAGTGAGGGCTCCAGGATGGTGCAGAGAGAAGTTTGTGACCCTTTCACCTGAACAATTCAAATATGAGGTTCATAAAAAGACACCATGCAGATGTTGGACTAGTGTCGCAGTCGAACACAGTCTCTCTGTGTGTAAGTCTTCGGCTGATGTTTGATTCCAGATACTTGACGCCTCTGTTTCTCTGCCTCCATCAGGACTCACATGCAGCTACTGATGCTGCTGCTGCTGCTGCTGATGTTGATCTGATTACCATGATACGAGAGCCGCGTCCTCTTAAAGCCACACTCGGCTTTAATTTATGAGGGAAATGAGAGAGGCAGCAGAGGGAGGAGCGGAGGACAGAGACGGATGCAGACAAGGAGCAGAAGGACTGCATCCTCCTCCTGCTTCCTCTTTGCAGCGGTGAGGTCATGAACCCGGCTGTAATTTGAGCAGGAGTCCACAGAGAGCCCACCAGGATATCCCCCTCTCCTCCTTCTCTTCCTTGTGTCTTGTCTGTGCGTCACATTCCTGCGTCTGTCCTCAGCAGCCGCGTCGCTACCTCCTCCTCTTCCCCTTTGCTTCCATCTTCCTCCTCGTTTTCGGGCTAATGAAATTAACGTTTTTCATGGATGTTGTTGCCGCTCCTCATGTGACCTCTGTAACCACCGTGGCTCCTTTGAGGAGCGGATCGACGCCTGTCACTGTTGCGCCGTCGCAGCAGCGCCGCCGATGAGGCTCCATCCGCACGTCACCGCGCCTGCATTGCCCGAAGCTCTGCGTAAAATGCGAGCGTCGTTTCCGCCTTCGCTCTGCCGCTGATGCGGCGCGCTGTCCACCTCCTCCTCTTCCCTTCTTCTTCTTCTAATCCTCCCCCTCTTCCTCCTTCTCCTCCGACCTTCTGCTCCAGGGCCGCTGCTGCAGCAGCTGCTGCTGCCGCCGAGTCTGCCGCTGGTACCGCTGCGGCCGCTCCCCGCACAGAGGCAGGATGGTGCGCCTCGTCAGCGCGCTGGGGCTCATCATGTTCAGCGTGGCGCTGCTCATCCTGTCACTCATCAGCTACGTGTCCATCAAGAAGGACTTCCTGATCAGCACCCCCAGATATGGACCTAACGGAGGGCCCAGGATGTACATGTTCCACGCAGGGTTCCGGTGAGTTCACGGGGAGGGTGTGAAGCTGCTGATGTCAGCAGCTGTGGCAGTGTCTGTCTTTCATTTTATTATTCATATGCTGTTACCCCTGATGTAACGGCTCTGCGTGTTCCTGATGTATCAGTATCTGCTGACCCGATGGAAAAACTGCTGCATTTAAAGGTGCAGTACGTAAGAGTCAGTGACGTCTAACGGTTCAAACACCCAAGAGTGAACCATAGACTGTATGTTATGGCTGAATCTGTTAACCTGTCAATGTCCTCATCGTGTCCACAAGTCAGGGGCTGTACACATGGGCTACACGTTGTCCATGAACCCAGAGATTGGTTTGTAGGAAGGTCGGTTGGTGGGTACAATGATGGGTCAGACGGTAATGTTGGTTGGTGACTATATTTTTAGGTTGGTAAGATGGTGGGTTGAATGTGAGCTAAGAAGGTAGCTGGGTCATTGGATTGACACGAGGATCAGAAGGAATGTTTGTGGGTTAGGGAGGTAGGTTGGGCAGTATTGCGTGGTACGTACACCGGTGTGTAGTATGGTTGGATGGATGTCCAAAAGTGAGGTAGGCTGGGAGATTATGTCGACACTTTTATTCCATAGAACTTAAGCTAACCTATAGGGCCTGTGGCCCACATTCCACCAACTGTGAAAGGCCTTGTGTCTCATGTTGGTTTGGTTAGGTGTGTAATGTGGAACTCTAACCCTAGTACACAGTGAAACATTAAAAATATTACTATATATATAGTAATAGAAAAACATTTCCTGTTTTCCCGCCTTTAAGCTTTTTGGGGTTTTTTTCTGAGTGGGTCAGAAAAGACACTTTTGCTTTCTCAAGGCAGAGGTAGACTGGTCCATTAAAAACACTGCTTTCTCAAGGCAGAGGTAGACTGGTGCAGATGTTATCAGTGTATGTGAGTATTTAGTCTCTAAAACGAGTAAACATGCTCCCGGTTCTTCAGTCAGTGAGTATCAGTATGAAGAAAACCAGGGCATCTGTCACTTAATCCCACAGCTGTGAACTGGATCAGCTTATTCACTCACTGGCATCCAGCCCCCCCACCTTCCACTCTACCCCCCTTAGTTACTTAAGAGTAGAGTATTTTCTATTACCATAAGGTATTTCAATAAAACAGCTAATGTTTTTAATTTCGTTGTCAAAGAACGTGAGAGGTTCAATGAGGGATTCAAAAGTTTGGTTTGGCCCTCTTTTGGCGCCCTCTTTTTGATGCTGTTTAATCAAAAGTGACGCATCATCTGCAAACACCTGCAACAATTCATGGTGTTTTGCTGACATCAAGAGTGTGTGCTGCATTGACAGTACTGTGTTTAGACTTAAAGCACTTGGTTGATAACAGTGGTTATAAAACAAAAAGTTTTATCGACTCCACCTTCGAAGACAAATTTAATCGTTCACTTAATGGTGGCATTCCCAATTCCAGACCAGCACTGATCACTCCCCCATCTCCCAGTGATCCAGGATTTGTCTGTACGTGTATTCAAGAGTCAGTGAGTGAACCTTGAAGCAAATCAAAATAGGACTTCGAAGTACCCTGACTTCTTTATTTAATTGTTTTCATTTGCCAAGCTTAATAGAGAAAACTTGGACATGGAGATCTACTTAGATCTACTAATGGCAGAGGCAGCTCTGACCAATGTACCACAAATCCCCGGCAGCGACATTGAAAATGTTTAGAATGCCGTTTGATATTTGGGGCCACAAAACCTGATTTGTAGGTATTTATTCAAGTTATGAGAATTGTTTTTATTGTCTTGGATGTGAGAGTCTGTTAGTTTGATTATTGAAGACTTGGGTTTTTTTTTCTTCCATGTTCGAATACCCGTTTTCATGTTCTTGATGGTGCTGAACTCTTTCACGTTCGAAGACCCGTTTTCATGTTCTTGATGGTGCTGTAATTGTGATGGAAACTCAGGGAACTTCTGGATTGTGAAGCCCCAGAAATGGCTTTAGAAATGTACATGTAAAGTATATGGTTTGCAAAAACAAAAAAGTGCTTAACTGTGGCTATAAAAAGCTGTGACATGTTACTTTTCTCTGATCGTAGTGATATAAGGTATCAAATCGTGGAGTCTGGAGGTCTTAAGTTTTGCCAATACCTGTTTAGTGCATTAGATATCTGTCATGTTCTGGTACTTAAACTGTAGTGAAACAGACCCTAAAATAAGAGCTATAGTTCCTGGCGAAAGATTAATGTGACTCTGGTACTGTGCACCAGAAATGCGCTAATGAAACTGCTGGTTGTAAAGTTCCTGGTACTCGTTCCTTGATCAAAAAAAACGAGCCATTCATGGTGTGGTGTAGCTGGAAGAAAATCTCAAATCTCTACTTCTGACATTGAATGTAACACAGTGTAAATCTCAGTTGTCCACTGGCTCTCGAGGCTGATTCTGAAACAGCCGCCCGACTGATGGGGGGGTCCTTGAGGCCAGCAAGTCACCATTGCCTCTGATTTACAGCTGCAAAGAGGCCGCGTTCATTTCCCGCTGCCAGTTATCATTTTCCTCCTCACTCCCTGTCACCACAGGCCAAGGTTACACTCAGAGTGAGTTAGATCTGAAGGAGAGCAGCGTTTGGAGGAGAAAAAGAAAACTTGTGTTAGTTTGAGTCGGAGTTTATCATCAGGAGTGCGGTGATTCAGAGGAGTTTGCTTTGGAGGCAGTGGATGCATGGGTAATGGTCTGTCTGCCCTTCAACATGTCACCGCATCTGAAAAACCGCTGGTCAGAGAGCAGATGGAAGACTCATATTTCACATAAATACATAAGCACCATTTTTTTCACAACGGTGTGAAATTATGGAAGGTTGGAAGCCGTGTTTCTCCCCTTCAGATCCTGTCCTCAAGGATCGTAGCCCACGTGAAAATGCAACTCTACTTTGACTTGTAGGAATCTACACTGTGTTTCCACGGTTTGTTGTTGTTCAGGTGTAATCATTTGAGTTTGTACTGTTAAGTATGAAAAAACCCCAATATATTTTTGCATGAATGGACTTTACAGAATTTAATCTTGCTTTAACCTTTACAACACATAATGGAAAAAAGAGTGAGTGAGTTCATGTTGTTGTCTCTGTTCCACCTTCCCGCTGCAGCGAGAGACCGCCTCGCAAACCAGACCTGAGGTGAATCACGAGCAACAGTGGCCAAGTTTTACAGCATCCATCCATCCATCCATCCATCCATCTATCCATCCACCCATCCATCCATCCACCCATCATCCATCTATCATCTATCCATCTATCCATCTATCCATCCATCTATCCATCCATCCATCTATCCATCTAGCCATCTATCTATCCATCCATCCATCTATCTATCCATCCATCCATCCATCTATCTATCTATCTATCCATCCATCTATCCATCCATCCATCCACCCATCCATCATCCATCATCCATCTATCATCTATCCATCTATCCATCCATCCATCCATCTATCCATCCACCCATCCATCATCATCCATCTATCTTCTATCCATCTATCCATCCATCCATCTATTCATCCATCCATCCATCCATCTATCCATCCATGCACCCATCCATCATCATCCATCTATCTTCTATCCATCTATCCATCCACCCATCCATCCATCTACCCACTCATCCATCCATCTATCCTTCTATCCATCTATCCTTCCTTTCACTCATCCCTTCATTCATACATTTAATTTATTTTATCCATTCAGCTATCAATCCATCCACCCATCCATCCATTTATCCACCCTTTGTTTATATGGACCTTTAATCCATCCATCCGTCTATACATCACAACTTTCAACCTTCAAATCCCCTTCTTCTCATCTATCTATCCTCCTAAACTTGCAACCTCCAACCCAGCAAACTGCCTGTCTGCACGCCTACCTATCCACTGTAGCAACTACGCTATCAACCTAATGGAGCTCTCTACCACCTTCCACCTTCCTATATATATATATATACACTACCATTAAAAACGTTAGGGTCACTTAAAACCTCCTTATTTTTGAAGGAAAATCAGAAATACAACCTATGCATTATTAATGCTTTTAATGAATAAGGGCCTATTTCCTGCAACCATCATTCCACTGGATTGGTAGATTTTGTTTGCTAATCACATTAGAAGGCTAATGTATAATTGAAGGGCAAAATTATTATTTCAATGAAAAATAATTGTTTTTAATCTTACATTTTCTGTTAATTTTGAAACTGAAGAGGTTTTAATAGAAAAAAACAAAATTGTATGGGTGACCCCAAACTTTTGAATGCTTGTGTACATATATATATAAATATATATAGACCCAACCAAGACCATCCAAATATTGAACCCTCTCCCAACCCAACTGAGAGCCCACCCCACGCCCTCTCACCTTTGTATTCACCTAACTGCTTTCCAACCCCTCCTACTTAATGGCGAGCCTTGAGACAAGTAATGTAATAGTAGTAATAGTAAAAGTTTTTTTTTGTTGTTGTTGTTGTTTTTTTTGCCAACTTACACGTTCTTTGTAGTTGGATGAGCTGTTCGCTGCTTTGGTTTGGCTGCCCTAAAGCATGATCCGCTGCTGAAATTATTTTAACAAAAGAGAAAATGGATGAAATGTTTCTGATCTGCTTTCACAAGGTCACAACATATTTTCTCTGATGAAACCATTTTCAGAAACTAACGCAACAAAAAAAAAATCCAGCTTCTGCTGCAACACGCACAACAAAGGCGTAAGATTCCCTTTATTTAAAAGAACGATACATTTGCAGTAAAATTTGTTTTCTTTGTGTAGCTCCCAGATGGCCATGAAGTATCTGGACCCAGCCTTTACTTCTTTAACCAACAACCTCAGCGAGGACCTGCCGAACTCCCCTAGATGGAAGTACAATAGCACTGCATTCACACAGCAGAGGTAAGGTCTACAAAAACACATTTGATGTTGAATGAAGTTAAACGGTGTTTCTTTAGTTTAGCGTGTGACGATAAAAAAACATCTGTTCCACAGACAGGAGATCTCTCAGTACATCGACATCCCCCACAACTTCACGCTGACACGAAACGCGGTCAAAATTGGGCAGCTGATGCATTACGACTACTCCAGCCACAAGTACGTCTTCTCCATAGGCGAGAACTTCCGCTCACTCCTCCCCGAGGTCTCGCCCATTGTCAACAAACACTACAACGTGTGCGCTGTAGTAGGCAACAGTGGCATCCTCACGGGCTCGCGCTGTGGACCTCAGATTGAGAAGTTCGACTTTGTTTTCCGCTGCAACTTCGCCCCGACCGAGGTCTTCAAAAAGGACGTGGGAAGGCGGACCAACATGACCACCTTCAATCCCAGCATCCTGGAGAAATACTACAACAATTTACTGACGGTTCAGGACAGGAACAACTTCTTCCTGAGCCTGAAGAAGCTGGACAACGCCATCTTGTGGATACCGGCGTTTTTCTTCCACACATCGGCCACGGTGACAAGGACACTGGTTGACTTCTTCGTAGAGCACAGAGGACAGCTGAAGGTCCAGTTGGCCTGGCCTGGAAACATAATGCAGTACATCAACAAGTAAGAAACACTACAAACTGCATTGCTAAAGTTAACTACATCCTAATCTTAATGGGAAGAAGTGCATGATGTCGACAATGACACAAACTGAGGGTTTCAGGTTACTATAAGTAAACCACGATGCCTTGTGTCTTGATTTTAAAAGCCTTATTTACCTAATACTGGATAATGAAAAACCCAACTAAATTAATCCCCCCTAAAGAAATGTAGGTTAAATAAAAATGGCCAAAGCAGTGATTCTTAACCATGGGGTTGTGGCCCAAACTTGGGCTTTAAGGGCCACTAAAACTTTCAGTTTATTTGGCTGCAAACCCTGCGGGACAGCATATGTTATCGACCGAAAACTTTGGAGATATGTTATCCAAGAGAAGCTCAGTTAAAACGCAGCTTTTGACCAAATGGTGGCAGCGGTGCATCAGCGGTGCTTTAACAAGCTCCAATATAGCGAGAAGAGGTGCATCAGTTAGTTCTTTAACAAGCTCCAATATAGCGAGAAGAAGATTGTCGTCTGTCTACGCTAGCAGTAGCAAGAAGACCAAAAGACTACATTTTTGATAGAAAGAAAGATAGATAGAACTTTATTAATCCCTCGGGAGTTCCCTTCGGTAAATTACAGTCTTGCAAAGGTACAATCTTGACTTAATCAAATCTAATATTTAATAGTTTTTTTTCACTTTTCCTATATTAACTTGGCCTTAACATCAGAAAGGTTCAGAATCTCTGGGCTTAAGGATAAGTGTACCAACAGATGGCTGAACAAGTAGTTTAACTATGGAAAAATATCTAATTAAAAGCTTAAAACTGCAAAATATAGCAAATATATCCTTATGGTGAGTGCCCAAACATATCAGTAGTGGCTTTAAATTAGCTTTGTTTTCATTAAAATTTAAAAACCTTTTCAAATGTCCATTTAATGATCAGTCTGGAATCTTGTGTAAAATCATCAAAATATAGCAAAACAAGTTAGCCTACATTAGAACACTCTAGTCACAGGTCTCCACTTCTATCATGGCTCTATCATATCCACCCAGTTTTCAGTGCTGCTGTAGAAATGGGCTCATGTTTGTCAGTCTGTATTGAATGGAACTGCGCTTTTCATGGACCAAAAGAGATTTAAGCCCCAAAGCCGGATTATCGGGAAACAGCTATTTAGTGAAAAGTACGGTGCAGTGCTGTGACCGTGTGTGGAGAGAGATTTAGGTCTGGTACTTAGTGTTGTCGCAGCAGAATGGGCACCTCGTACAGTAGCCTATCCTTCCCCAATCCCATTAAAATGGCCTACTCTGGGAGAATTAGCACAGTTTAAGCAGCACAGAGAGCAGTGAGGACCTCCGCCACTCGTGGAGAGAAGCTTTTGTTGAGGCTCGTCTCAAGGGTTTCCCCCTCTGGGGCGCTGCTGAGGAGGACTGGCCCACGTGGGCAACGGCCACCACAACAATAGCTTGGTGCTTTAGTGACTGTTCAGGACGGATACAGCCTCATATTGTTTGTCCAGTCTTGTCTATTCTAGAAATTTCTCAAATATTGGAATATTGGATAAAATAGAAAAAGCTAAATAACAGCCAAACATTAGCTCAGAAATGGCTAAAGAATAGCCAGATGGATGGAAGGGAACCCACACCCAAAGACCAGGTATCGAGCTAGCAATCACACCATCAGTGCGGTGTGGTATCGTAGTATTGTTAGTAATCCCATTATAGTCTTTTGTGGCTAAACAAAGGTCGGTCATAAGAGCATTTATATGTTGCTCTGGTATCAAGGCTAAAAGTTAAAGAAAAGTTAAAGAACTCCACCAATGGACAGGCTGTCCATTGGTTGAGTGAATGCTTTTGTCAGAATCACTACAAATGGCTGTCCCC